TTAACTTTTAGCTACTGTTGATGATTTTAGTTTTTAGCTACTGCTCTGGTGCAGTTTTGTAATAATTTGAGTTTTAGAAGAATGTCACTTCACCACTTGCTCTCGATGAGATCGGATGCCTCCCTCCCTCCCTCTCCCCTTTGTTGCTCTGTCTGTCTGTGAAACTGCTTCTGAGCCTCTCTTGTATCTTCTGAAACATAATTATGGACTTGTTCTGACCAGTTGGTCCCTCAACTCAATTTACAACATTTCTTCTAGAGAAGACAGACTTTAGGAGAGCCGATTGCCCTGTTGGCACATACGCAGCTGGATATCTCATCGACTGGAAGACTTGATGATGTGTCTATCTCTGCTGCCATCTGTGGATTTTAAGGACGCATATGTAATTGGATTTACGATAACTGGTTCCTGCTTTTTGGATTCAGCTGGTTGCTGGTTTTATCTACAATCAAGGAAGTCATCAGCAGCAAATTTGGACCTGATCACGCTGCTTGCCTTTATGAAGGCTTGGTTCGTGTCTCGAGTACCCAGACTCAAATGCTTTGGGCTGAATGGATCAGATCTTGGGGATTTTACTCAGTTATGTTCCATCGGTGTGGCCATGTAATTTGGACATTTCAGAACCGAGTGGACCAACACAGACTCAAGGTAGATGTCATTAAGTTCTGCCTGTCCCCAAAACAACTGTGTTTATCTAAGTTTTGGTCGCCTTGGTGTCCTTGAAGGTCATCTTATCCGAATTCACCTGGAAAATATGTGATCTGACGCTCACCACCCCCTCCCTGAGGAATTTCCAACTGATAACCAGATGAAACCAGCTGAATAAACTTTGTGTCATCACTTCAGGACTCTTGGATTCTCAGAGGTTATTCTTGGCCATTCCTCGACATCCCTCGAGAATGTTTATGGATCTCACCGGAGGACATTGACTGATTATTACATCTTTATCAGAACTCTTACAGTGACCTCGAGAGCATCTGTAGACGTTGTTGACCGCTCTCGTCTCTTCCTTCTTCCTGCTCTGCTCTCTTGCAGAATGTCTACATAAATATGTGCTTGTTTGTGCCAAGTGTTTTTTCAATATTAGGGGTTTTTCTCAGCCAAGAAAAAAGTCTGATAGGATTTTGTTTCACCTCCAACTCCTACATGTGTCCAGTTAACCACTGTTTTTGTCTGTCCAAACAGGTCTCACTTGTAAATGAGTCTTCGAGGCTCAATGTGATTTATCTGTTTAAATAAAGGTTGAGTGAATGAATGAATATCTTTTAGCTCCTGTTTTGCTCATTTTAGCTTCTGCTTTGCTTCTTTCAAGCTCATTTTAATTTCAGCTGAGTCATTTAGTGTGAAAGAATCGTTCCAACTTTAGTTTTCGAGCCCTGTTGGTCAACTGAGTGCCTCACAGCTCAGACCTGTTCAGAATCAATCATCAAACCAACGCTTCAGATGTTTCCAGTAAACGTGTAGAAACGTACAAACATGAAAACATCCTGTTTTCTGAGACGTGTCCACCTCACGAGCTTCATTCTGTTCCTGAGCAGCTGGGCGTGGTGCAGACAGAGGGGGGTCTGGTTGAAGGACGCAGCTTCAGCGTGGGTCTCTTCAGGACCGTTGAGGTCTTTAAAGGCGTCCCCTTCGCTGATGTTCCTGGAAAGTGGGAGAAACCAAAACCTCATCCTGGATGGAGCGGTGAGTCTGACCTAGCTACAGCAGCAGAACATTTATCTGATCAACTCCTGGTTTAAAATATTTTATTTTCTAGTTGAGTAAAACGGTTTGTGGGTCCGAACTGGCAACTGATCCAAAAGACTCAGTTCAGTTCAGCAGAAAGATCAGAAGTGAAGTGAAACAAATACATGAACCAAGTGAACTCCAACTCTGCTCAAATGTCCCTATTGTTTGTATCTATAACACCAGTAGCATGCTCTTCTCCATGACCATCTATAAACGTGTTGCTTCTAGGAATCCTGAAGGCCACAACGTATCGAGATCGCTGCCTGCAGGTGACGCTGCTGCAGACAAAAACCCGGGGCAGTGAGGACTGTCTCTACCTCAACATTTTTATTCCACATGGACTCTCTGGTAGGTCACACCACACATTTAAATGGACTTTCTTAACCCCTTGGAATCCATCCATACATCCATCCATCATCCATCATCCATCCATCCATCATCCATCCATCCATCATCAGGTCTCGGGGGCAGCATCTTGAGCAGGGAGGTCCAGACATCTCTCTCCACAGCCTCTTCCAGCTCTTCTGGGAGGACTCCAAGGCGTTCACAGACCAACAGAGAGACAGTGTCTCCAGCATGTCCTGTGTCTTCCCCTGGGTCTCCTCCCAGTCGGACATGCCTGAAGCACCTCCCTAGGGAGGAGCCCAGGGGGCATCCTTATCAGATGAAAGACTTGAACTGGTTCCTCTGGATGTGGAGGAGCAGTGGTTCTACTCTGAGTCTCTCCTGATAACTGAACTTCTCCCCCTGTCTCTAAGGGAGAGTCCAGCTGCAGAGGAAACTCATTTCAACCTCCTGAATCCATGATCTCATTCTTTCAGTCTCTACCAGAGTTCATGACCACAGGTGAGGGAGGAACGTAGACCGACCAGTAAACAGAGAGCTTTGTCTTACAGCTCGGCTCCCTCTTCACCACAACGTACCGGCACAGAGTCCACAACACTGCAGACACTGCACTAATCCATCTGTCAATCTCACGCTCCATTCTTCTCTCACTCATGAACAAAACCCCGAGATACTTGAACTCCTCCACTTGAGGCAGAACCTCACCCTCGACCTGAAGAGAACAATCCACCCTTTTCTAAATGAGGACCATGGACTCAGGTCTGGAGGTGCTGGTTCTCATCTCAGCTGCTTCACACTCGGCTGTGAACCGCTCCAGTGAGAGCTGAAGATCAAGACACGATGACGCCAACAGGACCACATCATCTGCAAAGATCAGAGATGAATCCTGAGTAGAGTTTCATTCGTGCCCAAAAAATCCAAACCAACCCGGCCCCAGCCCATGGCCATTATTTCCGAACCTGACCCGACTCGATGAATTAACAGTAATTACAGGTTCTAATCCGCCCCCCCCCCCACACACACACACACCAGACATTTTTACTTAAGCTTTGACTGCTTATTAATGGTTATTAATGATTGTCGGATGCACATGCCAAAGGAGGCAGAAGATCGGAGCTGAGGGGGTGTTTGTTCTTTCATGGTCGTTGAAGTGCATTAAATCCCAGCTTCTGCCTGCATGCTGCATTATTCAGACATGGACCCTGCTCTGATGTCTGCGAGAATATTTTATCATCTCACCTGGTTGGGTTGTCGGCCACGCACGTCCGCTGAGTGCAGCGACTGAATGAACGTCCATTTGTCAGAGTCAGCAACATGAAACAGAGCAGCAGCAACACGAAACAGATCAACAGCAACATGAAACAGATCAGCAGCAACATGAAACAGATCAGCAGCAACATGAAACAGATCAACAGCAACATGAAACAGAGCAGCAACAACATGAAACAAATCAGCAGCAACATGAAACAGAGCAGCAGCAACATGAAACAAATCAGCAGCAACATGAAACAGAGCAGCAGCAACATGAGACAAATCAGCAGCAACATGAAACAGAGCAGCAGCAACATGAAACAGAGCAGCAACAACATGAAACAAATCAGCAGCAACATGAGACAGATCAGCAGCAACATGAAACAGATCAGCAGCAACATGAAACAGATCAGCAGCAACATGATGTGATTTTTCACAGTGATTATTCTAGTTAGAGATTCATGAGTCTAACAGCCTCAGGGTAGAAGCTGTTCCTCAAGTCAAGTCAAGTCAAGTCATTCATATAGCACATTTAAAACAGTAACTGTTATCAAAGTGCTTACCAAAAAAGATCACAGCATCTAATATTAATAACAACATATTACAGCAACATGAATAAAAGCATATAAACCTGAAATATAATTAGAAACAATGAAATACTAAATCAGATCACCCTGAGTTAAATGTCAGGGAGTAAAAGCAAAAGGCACGAACACAATCATCAACAACGAAATACCAAATGAGATCACACTTTGGTAAATGTCAGTGAGTACAGATGTGTCAGTGAGTACAGATGTGCCAGTGAGTACAGATGTGTCAATGAGTACAGATGTGTCAGTGAGTACAGATGTGTTTTGAGGAGAGATTTAAAAATAGAGACTGAGGTGGCCTGTCGAATGTTGATGGGCAGATTGTTCCAGAGTTTAGGGCCCACCACTGAAAACGCTCGATCTCCTCTGAGCTTCAGCTGGTTTTTGATACGGCCAAAAGCAGCTGGTCTGATGATCTCAAGGCCCGAGAAGGAGCATAAGGATGAAGGAGGTCGGAGAGGAATGATGGTGCAAGGCCATTAACACACTTGAATGTCAGCAGAAGAATCTTAAAATCAACTCTGACATGCACAGGAAGCCAGTGAAGGGAGGACAGAACCGGAGTAATGTGCTCAAACCTGTGAGTTCCTGTTAGTAGCCGAGCTGCAGCATTTTGTACGAGCTGGAGACGTGAGAGAGACCTGACTGACCCAGTCAGTCTAGTGGTTTTACACTTAATGCTCCTCAACATCCTTCCTGAGGGGAGCGGGGCAAAAAGTGTGTGCTGGGTGAGTGTGGTCCTTCATGATGCAGGTGGCCCTCTTCCTGCATCTGGAGGTGTAAATGTCTGTGATGGTGGGGAGACTGACTCCAACATCTTCTGTGCAGCCTTCACCACTCTCTGCAAAGCTTTTCTTTCTGCAGCTGTGCAGCCTCCATGCCACACGTTGATGCTGGAGCACAGGATGCTCTCCACTGTACACCTGTAGAAGGAGGTGAGGACTGAGCTTCCAGACCAGCTCGTCTCAGCCGTCTGAGGAAGTAGAGTCTCTGATGATCTTTCTTCATCAGGCTGGTGGTGTTGTTGCTCCAGCTGAGGTTGTTGTTCAGGTGCACACCCAAGTACTTGTAGCTGGAGACCACTTCCACCGCAGATCCTCCTATGTTTATAGGTGTGTGTGTGTGTGTGTGTGTGTGTGGGGGGGGGGGGGGTAGGTGTGTTTGTTCCTTCTGAAGTCTACGACCATCTCCTTTGTCTTCTTCATATTGATGTGAAGGTTGTTCTTCCTGCACCAGCTCTCCAGGTGTTCCAGGTGTTTGGGCTTTGATGGATCTCTGCCTGGCAGTACAGTCCCATCTGAAGCTTAACTTTTTACTTCTTTCAAGGCCGGCCAGCGTTCGGTCAAATGACCGTGTGCAGCTGATGAATGTATGGCAAGCCATGTTGCCATATAATTGGAATGTCAGCTGTGCGTGTCCGCTGACGTAATCAAAAGCCCGACACCGACCCAGCCCGCCCATCCAGTACATTATTATGGCCCGGTCAGGCCCGAATTCAGGTCGGGCTGGGCTTTGGGCCTGGGTTAGAAATGTCAGCTCTAATCATGAGGTCACTGAACCAGATGTTCTCTGCTCCCTGGCTGCACCTAAAAATCCTATCCATAAAAGTTATGAACAGAATCGGTGAAAACGGGCAGCTCTGGCAGAGTCCAACTCCCACCCTGAAGGGTCTGACTTACTACCGGCAATGTGAACCAAACTCTCACACCGCATGTATAGGGACCCAACAGCCCATAGCAACAGGCCTCCAATCCCAGACCCATGGAGCACCCCCCATAGTGTACCTCGAGGAACATGGTCAAAAGCCTGCTCCAAGTCCACAAACATGTAGACTAGATGGGCAAACCCCCATGACCCTTCGAGTACTCTAGTGAGTGAGACGGTCCATTTTTTCCTGCTGACTCCATTGCGCTTTACATTTGACAAAGACTTTTGGGAAAATGTGGCGTGGATTATTTATCCTAACCCTGGTTTTACTTGGCATATCAACACGATTTAAAAACTGGTGTGTACTTTAACCTCTCGACGTTTGACACAAATTCTAACAGAGTCTCAGAGACAGTTATTTGTCTTGTTGGAGGGATTTCAGTCAGTCATGAGACTCTCAAGTGTGGGTGCATCGATGGACTAGTGGGTTAATGTGGTTATTGCATCAGTGGCCTGCAGGGGGCTCCACAGAGTACAGGGATCTTTTATGGTGCAAACATTTCACCACAAATAAGTTTTAACAAATCAAACTAAAAAAGTACTCAAATGAAAACACGTCTTCAAAATTCAAAAACGTCTTCATAAAATCAAAATTGTCTCATAAATCAGATTTGTTGCTGTAAATGCAAAATGTTCTCCCAAACCAGACATGTTATCATAAACTAAAAAATGTCATTATAAATCAGAATGTTCCTCAAAACTCAGAAATTACATCCCAAACCAAAAATGTCCTTGGAAACCTGAATTGTCCAGAAATAACTGAACTATTGTCACAAATCAGAAACGTCCTCACTGCAGCCGTTACACAAATATCTGAAATGTTGTTGCTTAAATACACATTATTGTCTTTAAACAACAAAGTCCAGGCTCAATCATCCAGGTATACAATCCAACATTTTTCAGTCAGGTCATCTGGACAGATTTTTTTTTGTGCTGAAAAGTTTCACCTTCCATCCAGAAGGCTTCATCAGTCAAGGAAACACAAAACAAAACTGATTCTTCCCCCAACAGCTTACTCCAAAGTGGAACAAACCAGTTATGTTGGTGCTAAGATGGTCTCTTTGGTACGCCCCTCCTCCATTGCCCGCCCTCTTCCTTGTTGACAGTGTGTCAAACTGGTTGAAAACAACAAAGTCTTTTCTTGTCTGTAAAGTTTGATTGAAGCTGCCTCTAGTGGACAATGAAAGAACTGCATCCACATAAATGACACCTTTAACCTTCCATGTGTCTCTTTAGTGTCCACCAACCTTCCAGTGATGGTTTACCTGTTTGGAGGAGCCTTTCTTCTGGGATCATCCAATGATTTGGCAATTCTTGGAGATTCTCTTTATGATGGAAAAGAGATGGCTGACAGGGGTGGGGTTATTGTCGTCACGGTGAACTATAGAGTTGGTACGCTGGGTTTCCTCAGTACTGGAGATTCACGGCTCCCAGGTGAGACCAAAACAACGACATCAACACCTTACACCTAACAGCAACAGACTGAATTCACTTCAGTTTATTTCTAAAGCTCCACGTCACAACAGAAGTCGTCTCAGGGACTGAACAGAAACATTCATCTATAAAATAATAATTTAACATTATTTATCTGAGGAGCAGCTTTGAGTTTAACTCCATTGCATACATTTAATTTTAATTTAAAGATTTAAAGTCAGAACACAGCAAGAGATATCAAGCATTAAAACAGCCACTCATTTCTTTATTTCTTTAATTCCCATAGAGCACAGTTAGTTGTTACAGTATAAACCAACCCAATCTGATTTACAGAACATCACAGCGAGGGTTTGAGATTAATCCTGTTTGTTTTGTACCATTTGTGGATTTCCCAGCATGCCTTGTGATAAGACGTGTCTTATCAGTGTCCCAGCAGGTAAACTGTTAGTTCAGCAGCAAACTGTGAGGATCAGGTGTTCAGGTGTGATGTAATGAGCAGATAGTTTCCTCTCATATTGTCCTGCTGAGCCTTTGATACAACTAAATGTGACAGAACATTCATGAATACTAAGGCTGAGTTGTTCCACGAGACGTTAAGAAGTATGTTCTCACTGAACTGGTGGTGCCACAAAAAGCTTTGCCATTTTGTTCTCACAGGCGCTACAACCATCAGTCTGTACACAAGCTCCAAACCTTTTCTCACAGTGGTAAGCGCCGTGTGCTGTGCACGGAGTCAGAACCTCGTGAGAGCGTGTGTTCATGCAGAATAGTGCTTGAAGCTGTCATTTGTTGTGCTAACAAGATGGATAGCTTTGAGGAACAGCTGGCCGAGGCTGCTAGGACACACAGCCATCTTCATGACTGTTCCAAGAAAACTAAAGACAGTGAAATGGTGGAAAACTCAAGAAGAGTCATTATGCACAGAGAAGCTTGTGTGTCAGACTTAGGGTTAGGTTAATGGAAACGATGGTGGTCCCAGAGTTGCCAAGATCAAACCGTGGCTGCGAGGACAAAGTGGAGACCCCGACACGAGGGCAGTGGGAGGGTTTCTCCACGTATTCTGCACTGCAGTTTCTCTTTGAGGATAAAATATTCATGCAAAAAAGAACATCTCACAACCACGATTTCTTAACGTCTTGTGGAAAATAAATCAGCCTTTAGATTTTGAATTAGTACCCAGGTGTCCTCATGCTCCTCTTAGGCAACTACGGTCTGTGGGACCAGCATGCCGCCATCTCTTGGGTTCGCAGGAACATCAGGGGCTTTGGAGGAAACCCTGACAACCTCACCATCTTCGGCCAGTCAGCTGGAGCAGCCAGTGTTAGCTTCCAGGTCAGAGGTCATACATAACTTAGGAGAATTTAGACTGAGTACAAAACATGTAAAGAAATGTGACAATCGAAGCTTCTTAAATCAGGAGTTTCCATTATATAAAGCCTAACTGCAAATGTGAGTTTGTAATTGACATCAGTTTTGTTTGTGTCCGTGTTTGTTAGATGCTGTCTCCCTACAGTAAAGGTTTGTTCCGCAGAGCCATCACTCAGTGTGGAGTGGCCCTCAGTCCCTGGGCCCTGCAGAAGAACCCCATGGCTCTCACCAAGAAGGTCCCCAGACCATTCCCTGCTGGACACGACAGAAACATCCACTTTCACCTAATGCCTCAGCTGTTGCACTCAATGAAAGCCATGAACACTTTAGAAACATGCTCCATCAAAAGAGTTGCTTCAAACAAAAACTGACAAATATTTTAAATATTCTAACTGTACCAAGTTTGTCACAACTATAGTACATCTGACTTTACTTGAAACAAGGCCCACCCTCTTTAACCCAACTCTCAGTGGTGGTTTTCTCTAGGACTTTATCGGCCTCTCTCATGGTTGTGGAGACATTTTGGCCCACTCTTCTTTCTCACAAAAGCTGATTTAAAAATATATATGTCTGGATATATTGCTTTTTTAGTGTTTACAAATTTCGATGGGAAGTGGATAATGTTAAAAAACTTCAGCAGTACAGACGCTGCCTACTGGTGTACAACAAAGACAGTTTTCTGTGATTACAGATTATTCTAATCTTAAATTAACTGTCAGCAGCAAAATGACGAGAACATAAAGTAGCAGTTCACACAGCCTGGTACATACTGAGTACAAACGGAGTACATACTGAGTAAAAACTGAGTA